ATGCCGAGCGAGCGCCCCGTACGGAGACGCGCGTTCCGCCATGACGCGTTCGACCCTGTGCTGCCCGCGGCCTGGCGGAGGGGCAGGCCGCGCAACGCCTGGAAGATAAAGGTACATGCGCTCGCGTGCGCCGCGGCGGACAGCAGAGAGCAAGTGAATGAATTGTGGGGCAATGATTTGGCGGTGGTAGAATAGCGCACAGTGGCCAGACATTTTAGCTGCAGTGCGTGAGTTTCTTCGATGTTCAGGCCCCCCTTTCCGTCTGGTCCCTGCCTCCTTCACCCTCCCCCTTTCCCTCTGCTCACCTCTTCCATGAATTGCTCAGCATAGGGGTCTTGTTGTGCAATTTGTATCATGAGTTTTAGGGGGTGAATTGGAAGAAACCGAATGTTAGCCCAGCTCCCCCGCCAGCCTGCCTGCAGGGTGGCGTCGTCGTCCCCTCCCCTCCTTCGCCGTCCTGCGTCCCTCTGTTTGCGCTCTCTCGTGCTCGTCCCCGGGCTGTCGCCCGGTCGTCGCCTCTTCCCCTCCTCGCGGCTGTCGTTCTGTGTTGTTCGCTCTCCTCCCTCCCGCGGCTCCGGGTTCGTCCTGGACCCCCGGGTGTCGTTCCCTCCTCTACCCCCTGCTGGCCTTGCTCTCCCGGATCGTCCACCTTGCTGGCATTTCGGTGGTGAGTGGGTGGTGCACGAAGATACGCTTTCACCATTCCGTGCCATGGTGCCGTTTTTTTGCATGGAGCCTTATTGCTTCATAGCCGCGCCACGGGCAATGGTTTTTGTTCCTTGGCTTCGCCAAGCCACCTTTGACGTGCACGACTTCTCTTTCTCTCTCTGGAGGCCACCGCGTGGCCATATAGCGCAGCCTCCGCCAGCCAGGACCCCGACTCCCTCCCCCCGAAAAAAGGCAGGGCTGGCGCAGACCCCCTGTCTCCGAAGCCCTGCTGGTCAGATGGAGCCGCATTCGTAAGATGGAGTTGTCATAAGATGGAGCCCTCGAAAGAGCAGCCCTATCAAGAACCTTGGGCGGCCCCCCAGCGGCTCGGGCCGTTAAAACCTGGGGTTTCTCGGTGGACCAACCGCAGAAGGCAGCCAAAACGAGGCTGCCGACAAGAGAAACCATGCCCCTCACCTCGGTGAGGGCGCTTTTCGGAGCTCAAGGCATCCATTTTTGGCTCAAGGCATCCAGATTTTCAGACATCAGGCATCCATTGAGAACCAGCTTGAGACCCGTGTCCGGGATCGAGTTGTGACGTCATCTTGCAGCCCGGATGGCGTCCTCCAGCGCGGATGGACGTATTCTTCTGATCCTCGTGGAGGAGCTTGCGAAAATATTGCCCGCCGATACGGCGTCTCCTGCGACAGGGCCTGGACACACCCGCTTCGGCATGCTGCCGCGCGGGTATACAGCGCAGCCTCCAGTTAGCATCCTGCTCTCTCCCCCCCGAGAAGGGCAGGGCTGGCGCAGCGCCCTGCTCACCTGAAGCCGTGCTGGCAGGACGGAGCAGCCGCTCTCGTAAGCTGGAGCTCTCAGATCATGGAGCCCGCGAGAGAGCTCTGGACGGGTCATGTGCCCAACGGACGACTCTTGGTGGCCGGCTATGGGGACGCCGCGGTGAGGGCATCCCCCCTATCATGGGCAGTTGCGCGCGGCCGCACTTCGGCGCCAGCCGCCCGCCCCACCTACAGGCAAGACGCTCAAATAAGCAACAGTTTGGGCTCGGAAAGGGCCTCGCTGTTCCGCAGGCCCTTCGATGGCCGTTCCCCTAGCCCGCCTCGTGCACGCAGGCGCTTTTGGGTGCCCACGAGGGGCGGCGTTCCTGTCTGGCGTTCCTCCTGGCAGCAGCGCGACCGTACCTCCGGGGCGCCCCATCATGGGGTGTGCACCGAGGGACGCCCCCCGTCACGGGGAGTTTCGGGCAGGGGCCTACCGCCGACCTCGCGAGCGGCGGTCCCCCGCCGACTGCGCAACACGAAACGGCGGACCAGTCTCGGCCCCGCCTCTCCATCTTTGGGGAGGGCGCTTGCCCCCAGGGTCGGATTTAACCATGCACATGTCTGTACCATGGAGGGCAGCCTATCCGAGGAATGCCAGCCCAGTCTCCAGAAGACCCAGGGCTGTGCGCGGCTGAGATCAAGGATGCGGCGCCCCCGAGCCGTGCTTGCGGCTGGGGCGTTGGGTAAGGCTTGGCCACATCCTTTCGGTTGTGGCCAGGCGACGCGTGGAAGTCAGAATCGTTCAACCGATCCATTTCCCCGTCCCCCATCCCCATTCCGAGCCCCGCCATCCCACCACCTCAGTTGGGGACAGACCCCCCGAAACCCGAAGGGGACAGCCCATATCCCCATCCAGGGGGGTGCATCGGCGAGTGTGGCCGAGGCCACGCCAGTTGGGGATAGGGATCGGTGAAACGATGCTCAGGACGGCTTCCCGCCGACGCGCGCCCCATCGTACCTCCTCGTGCCGGCAGTCGGGGGCTCGCCGCCGACCAGCCGAGGCCGTGTCCACGCCCCCGCAGTGGTGGCGTTTGGAGCTGCGCCGAAGGCTTCCGCCGACGAGCTCCTGCCAAGGATCGCGGCGTCGTTCGGGTGTTTCGCGCCAGCCTATTGAGACTGCAGTGCAGGTCCATGCCAAGAATCACCCTGCTTGCCTCCATGGTGCCCTGAGCTTCCTGGGTTTCGGTGGTGTTCCTACGAAAGGCGTGACACTCCCACGCCAAAACTCCATTGACGTGCCGGGGTCTCGGGGTTGGGCTTCTTGTGGAAGGTTTCTTGTGGACTGGCCTCCACTGTACATTGTGTCCCCAGCCGTGCTTTCGACTGCGACACAAGGCGCGCCGTCGGGAGCTCTCCGCCGGCGAGCGCTCCCAGAAAGCGAGACGTGCCCTCTTGCCAAGGGAAGTCTGGATTCGTCATTCCACGTGTATACTAGAATGTATAGTCGGTTGGCGTGCCGCTCTGCTTCCGCACAGCGGAGAGGAAAAGCCGGCATGGTTGCTTTTCGCCCACGCACGCCGGTGCATGGCTCAACTGACTGACCGACTGTCGGCCATAAAGGCGGAGCGTTTCCCTCAGTGCCCCAGCGCATCCTTCTTGCGAGGGCGAGATGCCCATACAGTGTAGGCCCATGCCAAGAAACACCCTGCTTGCCTCCAGGGTGCCTTGGGCTTCTTGGGTTTCGATGGTTTTGCTATGGAAGGCGTGACGCTCCCACACCACAAATCAATGGACCCCCTGAGGTCTCAGGGTTGGGTTTCTTGTGGAAAATTTCTTGTGGTCGAGCCCCTACTGCACCTGTCCATCAACAGGGAAGGGCATCCTACTACCCTTATCAAAATTAGCCTCAAAAATGGCGACCACGCCCCTGCGATGTCGGCGCGCCCTTCAATGTCGATAGACGCCCCTCCAATGTCGGGGCCAGGGCAAAAGTGGTCTGACCGACAACGAGTCGGAAGTTCGATGATGACCGACATTGGAGGGGCGGCGCATATAAGTACCTCGCAGTTACCGCTACTCTGTCCAGTATCTCCCCACAAACAGTTCAGCCATGTAAGACATTTTTGAGGTTCATTTTGATGAGGGTTCTAGGTCCTGGCTGCACACGCGAGGAGCGGATCCCCGTGCCCATCCATCGACAGGGACGGGCATCCAGGCTGGCACGGTGCCTTCCGGACATCTTCGGCGGCGCCAGCGCCGCGCCCTGCCACAGCAGAGTGGTTGTCTCACGGCCAGTGCTGCGAGCCAGAGATCCTTGTCCCTGGCAAAACTCGAAGAAGAAAAAGCCACATAAACGTAAACTTTTGGGGCTCCGCGCGGATTTCTTGGATTCGCGCTGGGACCCCCGGGCGGCGCCTCCGGCGCCGCCCCTGGCGCGCGGAGCGCGCCAGGGAGGGGGTCCAGCGCGAATCCAAGAAATCCGCGCGGAGCGCAAAAAGTTTCTGTTTATGTATTTTTTCGTTCTAAAAACCTCATTCGGGGAGTGGGATGCCCATGTCTGTCTACATCGACAGGGATGGGCGTCCTGGCTGAAGGAAGGATGGGCGGACTCCTGTGCCTGACCCTCAACAGAGGTGGCCAGCAAGGCTAACGCGGCCTCTTCTGAGCGCCGCCACTGGTGTGAAGTCGGGCCTGTCCCTCTACAGGAGGAATATTCAAAAATAGTCAAAACATAGTCTGGGGACGATGTTTTGATTATTGTTGGCCGTCTGTGCATATTTGTTGCCTAGTTTTTATCGTTCGTCCAAAAGCCGCCTGCAATGAGTTGGGGGATCTGCCCGACCTGGCATTGGCGGAGGCTGACGGCCCGAGGTTCCGCCAGACTCGTGCTCGGAGGTGGCGCGAAGCAGCCGTCGGAGGCCGCCGCGCCCGCAGCAGCAGTTCTTTGTCGCCTCGCGGCCGCGACGGCGGAACAACGCCCTCGGCGCTCGGCGCATCCTCTCTGCGAGGGCGGGGGGGAGAGGCGGAGGAGGAGGAGGAGAGGGAGGAGGCGGAACATTGGGAGGAGGGAGAGGAGAAGGGGCGAGAGAGGACGGAGGAGGGAGGGGGAGGAGGGAGGAGGGAGGGAAGGAGGAAGGAGGGACGGAGGGAGGAGGGGGGGAGGCGGCAAACTTCAGCACTCGGGCCGCCATTGTTGCACCGCGTGCGGCCATGGGCTAGCCGCGCACCAGAGGTCGCCCCTGCCCAGGGTCACTTCTTGAATGTAATTGGCCGAGAAGGGATCGCGGCGAAGATGACCATGCCTCTCACTTCGCGGTCTGGCCTTACGGGCTGCCAGTCTTCGAGGTTGCGAGTGCGCGAAGGCAGCCGCGCTTCGCGCAGCCTCGGGCCCCGATCATCGGTCCGAGGAGGAGGATGACTGTTCGTTTAACCCTTCTAACTCCAGTTATACCCTTGCAGCGGCGAGGCAAGACGGCCAGCAAAAACCCGCGGGTCTATCCCATGGAGTGGGGCCCACAGGCGTGCCCCCTTCGCGAGAAAGAGTGGTGGTGTCTGCTTTGACCTCCGCAGGTGCTGGACCTCGTCAGAAGCCTGATCACCCGCGACCCAGAGGAGCCCGCGACGCCCAAGTGGGGCCAAGGAAGCGCCAGGGTCGGAGGAGCGTCGATTCTGTGCCGTCCCGACGTCGTCGGTGCATCGGGCCTCCTCCTCCTCCTCCTCCTCCTCCTCCTCCTCCTCTTCTTCCTTCCCCTCCCCCTCCCCCTCCCTCTCCCCCTCCTCCCCCTCCCCCTCCCTCTCCCCCTCCTCCTCCTCCTCATCCTCCTCCTCCTGCTCCTCCTCCTCCTCGTCCTCCTCCTCCTCTTCCAAACCACGCCCCAGACGTCCGATGTCTCGGTGTTTGCGCACGGCACGCTGGCCCTGGAGCTCCTCGACCCCTCGACGGGGGCCCATTCTCAGGCGCGAGATCCGAAGCCTACTCTGGGTTTCTTATAAGCGTGGGGGGTACCCCCCCGACGGGGGTCAACCTCGCCTCGTCGTCGCTCCGCGACGGGGGTCGGAACGCCTTCGGCGCGCGGTGGCTGTCCGCGATGGGGGTCGATGTGGGGCTGTCGGCGGGGGTGATGCCCCCCCGACGCTTATTAAGAAACTCGGAGTATGTACAATGGAGACCCATGCCAAGAAACACCCTGCTTGCCTCCAGGGTGCCTTGGGTTTCTTGGGCTTCGATGTTTTTGCCATGGAAAGCGTGACGTCCTGGGTCCCAGGGTTGGGTTTCTTGTGGAAGGTTTCTTGTGGACTGGCCTCCACTGTACCCTCGCCGATCGACGATTCAGGCCACTCGGTGGGCGGCGGGGACAGGCTGCGGGATTCGTCGAAGACGTGGCGAAGTCCGAGCCCTTCCCCCGTCGCCCATCGATTCGGGAGAATCGCTGGTTGGCGCGGGCAGGGTTCAGATGCCGCCACCCAGCTGCCTCCTCTCGGATAGTCCTCTCGGATGGTGCCGAGAGCGGCGAGGCACATTTGTTGTTGTTGTCCGAGGTGTGTGTGTGTGTGTGTGTGTGTGTCTGGGCGTCCCCAGCAGGCTGGTCTGGCACGCGCCGCCTCAGGGGTGCCTTGCAGGTCATCCGCGACCTCGTCACCCAGAGGTGCGTGTCCGCCGCACTGCCCTCCCCAGCCTGGCACTCGCTTTTCGTGCCCTTTCCGCCTCCCTTGCCTGGTTTTCAGTCCGACCCCTCCTCCTGAGGTGGTCCCACGCTTGCCTTCCTCCCCGGGCTGCCTCGCAGGTCGCTTGTGACCTCGGCTCTCCCGGACGCCACGCCGCACTGCTTTCGCCTCCAGCCTGTGCTGGACCTGCTCCCCCTGGGCGTTTGCCTCCGGCGGCCGCCCGGCCTACCTACCCCCCAGCTGCCGCCTCGCCGTTGTTGGCCCCGCCCCTGGCGCCCCCCCGCCGCCGCCTGGCCCCGCTCTGAGCGGGCCCGGCTCCCCCCTCCCTCCTGCCCGTGCCGGGCGTCTCCGTCTCTCCCCCGCGCATGGCGGCCCAATTCGCGTTGTGTGCATTCCACTTACGCCCTATCGCCAGCGCAGTGAGTCTGCCTAGCCGCCGACGGAAAAAATTGTGTGTGTGTGTGTGTGGTGTGTCTGTGTGTGTGTGAATATGTGTGTGTGACTGTGTGACTGTGTGACTGTGTGTGTGTGTGCGTGCGTGCGTGCGTGCGTGCGTGCGTGCGTGTGTTTGTGTGTGAGAGAGTGTGTGTGTGTGTATGTGTGTGTGTGTGTGAGTGTCTGAGGCCTTGTCTTTGGCTTGCCCTCCAGGGGTTCCCGGTTGGACCCTGGACGCAGCTCTAGCAGGATTCCATTAGAACTGGGCGCAGCTCTAGTAGGATTCTATTAGAACTGGATGCAGCTCTAGTAGGGTTCCATTAGAGCTGGACGCACCTCGAGTAGGATTCCAGTAGAGCTGCGCGCAGCTCTAATAGGATTCTATCAGAGCTGGACGCAGCTCTAGTAGGTTTATATTAGAGTTGCGCACAGCTCTAGTAGGATTCTCTTAGAGCTGGACGCATCTCTAGAAGGTTTCTTTTAGAGCTGTACGCGCAGCTCTAGTAGGAATCTATTAGAGCTGGACGCAGCGCTGGTAGGATTCTATTAGAGCTGGACGCAGATCTAGTAGGATTCTATGGGAGCTCCACACAGATCGAGTAGGATTCCACTAGAGCTGCACACAGCCCGAGCAGGATTCTTATGAAAGCTGCACGCAGTTGCGCGCAGTTCTAGTAGGATTCTATCAGAGCTGGACGCAGCTCTGGTAGAGCTGCACGCAGTTCTGGTAGGATTCTATTAGAGCTACACGCAGCTCTAGTAGGATTCTATGAGAGTTGCACGCAGTTCCTAGTAGGATTCTATGAGAATGAGGGCTGCGTGCAGCTCTGGTAGGATTCTATTAGAGCTGGATGCAGCTCTGGTCGGATTATTAGAGCTGGACGCACCTCTCGTCGGATTCTAGTAGAGCTGGACGCAGCTCCAGTAGGATTCTATTAGAGCTGCACGCAGCCCTAGTAGGTTTTGTCAGGGCTGCACGCAGCTTTAGTAGGATCTTATTAGAACTGGACGCATCTCTAGAAGGTTTCTTTTAGAGCTGTACGCGCAGCTCTAGTAGGTTTCTATTAGACCTGCACGCAACTCTAGTACATATTCTATATGAGCTGAACGCAGCTCTATTAGAACTGCACGCATTGTATTAGAGCTGCACGCAGCTCCAGTAGGATTCTATGAGAGCTGCACGCAACCCCGTTAGAACCATACGCAACTTTAGTAGGATTCTATCACAGCTGGACAGCTCTAGTAAGACTTAAGTAGAGCTGCGCGCAGCTCTGGTAGGATTCCTTATGAGCTGCCCGCAGTTTTCGTACGATTCTAGAGCTCGCTTCGCGCGCGCGTGAATGTTGGGCTGAGAATTTAATTGGAAACTGCAATTGGAAATTCTTGTTGGTTCGTTTCCACTAGCTTGTGGTAGTACTGGTTGCGCGATTGCGGCTGCCCCCCCTCTCAATTGCGGACCAGGGTACCAGAAATCCGCCTTCGCCAGCAGGGGAGGGCGGGGTTTTGGTACCCTGCTCCCCAGGGTACCAGGAACCTGGCCTCGCCTTGTTGTTGTTGTTGTTGGTGGTGGTGGTGGTGATGGTGTTGTTGTTGGTGGTGGTGTTGTTGTTGGTGTTTTTTTGTGGACGGAAACACTCAATGCTGCCCGGTGGCTGAGTCCCCCCCCCCAGCAACACAGCAACAGAGCAACAGCGCAACAGAGCCTCCCACCCAGCAACAGAGCAACAAAGCCACAAAACACCCCCCCAGCAACAGAGCAACAAACGACAGAAGAACAACGCAACTGTCAACCTAATTAGAGCCTCCCTCCCCACTAACAGAGCAACAGAGCAACGATTTCGGTGTACCCCTCATATGCTTCGTGGCCCCACAGGGGGCCCTACTAAAGGCTTCGGGCCAATGTGGCCCACAAAGGGGGATTCACCGATGTTTTCGGGCCGATGCTACTACTATTGAAAGAGCGTGTTCTACCGTTGCTGGCGGAAAACCGGGGGGGGGGTCACTACCGGTTCGAACCCCTCCCCCCCCCCCCCTCCGGAAAACCGGGGGGGGTCACTACCGGTTCGAACCCCTCCCCCCCCCCCCCGCTCATCATGAAAAGGGGGGGGAGGGGGGCACTACCGGTTCGAACTCCCCCCCCCCCCCCCGCCCCTCGAAAACCGAGTGGGGGTGCGGACAGTGGTGGGGACGGTGTTGGTGGGGACAGCGGTGAGGGGACAGCGGGACAGTGGTGGGGACAGCGGGGGGGCAGCGGGACAGCGGTGGGGACGGTAGTGGTGGGGGCAGTGGTGGGGGCAATGGTGGGAACAGGGGGGACAGTGGACAGTGGTGGGAACGGTGGTGGTGGGGACAGTGGTGTGTGGGACACGAGGTGGAAACACTGGGACAGTGGAGGGTACAATGGTGGTGGGGACACTGGTAAAGGCGTCGGCGAGGACGGCGGTGGGACAATGGGACAGAGGTACAGTGGGGACAGTGGTGGGGACAGTGGGGACAGTGGTGGGAACAGTGGGACAGCTCAGTGGGACAGCGGAGGAGTCAGTGGGACAGTGGGGACAGTGGGGATAGGCAGTGGTTGGGTCCGTGGAGACAGTGGGGAGAGTGGAACCGTGGTGGGAACAGTTGTGGGAACAGTGGGGACAGTGCGACAGTGGTGGGGGCACTGGTGGGGACAATAGGGACGGTGGTGGAACCAGCGGGGACAGTGGTGGTGAGGACAGTGGTGCTGGGAACAACAGTGGGGGATGTGATGCGAGCGGTGGTAGGGACCGGGAGTCGTTTGCTGGCGGTGCGTGGGGGGGGGGGGTCGAACCGGTAGTGACCCTCCGGTTTTCGAGGGGGGGGGGGGGTTCCAACCGGTAGTGACCCCCCCGGTTTTCGGATCCGGAGGGGGGGTGGGGAGAGGTTCGAACCGGTAGTGACCCCCCCCGGTTTTCGAGGGGGAGGGGGGGGGGAGGGGGGGGGGAGGGGGGGGGGTTTTTGCCGGAGGAGGGGGGGGGGGGGGGGAGAGGTTCCAGCAGGGGAGGGGGATTTTCGGAGGGGGGGGGGGGGAGACCCCCGGGCTCCGGAGGAAAAGGTTGGCAATTTTCCACAGTAAAGCGGCGGTGGATCACGCTCTCTCCTACTACTGCTACTGCTACTGCTACTATTACTACTAATACTACTACTGCTGCTGCTTCTACGATTGTTTCCACTACTACTACGACCACTACTACTACTACTACTACTACTACTACTACTACTACTACTACTACTACTACTACTACTACTACTACTACTACTACTACTACGACTACTACTACTACTACTACTACTACTACTACTACTACTACTACTACTACTACTACTACTACTACTACTACTACTACTACTATTACTACTCCTACTACACTACTATACTACTACTACCACACCACTGCTACTACTACTACTACTACTACTACTACTACTGCTACTAGTACTAGTACTAC